ATNTGTGTGTGTGTAATAAGTATTATTATATATATATATATATATATATACATATATATATTACTAGATATATAATATATATAATATAATATAATATATATATATACATATATATATACATATATATATACATATACATATACATATACATACACATATATACATACATACATACATACATAAATATATATATATATAGCCAAAAAGGCTTGGTAAGTGCTTTTGACAAACCCAAAAAATAAATAGGGTTTAGCAACGTATGACGTAACGGAGTGATGTGGTGAGACTTTGTATAGGTATGTGTTCCCCACTGTCTACACTAACTACCATCGCCCTTGTGTCTACCAGTGTTGCAGCAAGCACGCATTTAGAATGGTCTTAGCATAGCATGTGGTGTTTAGTATGGTTGGGTCAGTTTATACCTACCCAAAACCACATGATATGATAATTCAAAACCACATGATATGATAATTGTGTGTGATTTAGGATGGGAGTCATCTTATAAGGATCCAGAGCACATTAGAATCACTTGTGTAGATGATGTGATGCAATGGAGTGTATCCCGGCCGTCTATACGTATATGCACAGGAAACTAGATGCTTGAGTATGCTATACTAAGATACCTACATCGGATGAATAAACGTATAAGCCCCGCAACCAACAACGACAGCATGCAGTATAGCAGATATATTGATAGTTACGCATTGACTCGGTTTATCAAGCTACCTGTATCAGATAAATACGTTATGCGTATTAACCCGGTTTACTAAGCTACCTAAATCAGATAAGCGCATTATGCGTATTAACCCGGTTTTACCAAGCTACCTACATCAGATACATACGTTAATAGTTACGTATTGACCCGGTTAAACTTACCGCCATATTGGCTATGGTGATGAACAGGAACTTGCCCAGCATGGCGAAATCAAACGCGTCGTCTTGAATTTTGCCCTGAGTCTTGAACAGATCGGTGGTACGGTACAGGTCGAAGCCGGAGGGGAGTTGAGCGCGACGAGAATCTGCTGGGTGGGAGTATGCATATGAGTGTTTACTGTAGATGTGATCTGTATATTCTCGTATCTACAATATATACCTGAATATATATATATATATGCATGTTTGATCACGTGGGTTGTATATTCTCGTATCTACAATATATACATGTATATATATATATGCATGTTTGTACATTTTTGGTAACATACATGCACAGAACTACCGAACATACATAACGTATTGTATGCAAGTGTTGTTTTACACGCCTGTACACGCGTCCCATTCCCTGTCTTAAGTCCTATAACACGTACACATCAGCCTAATGTACCTACCTGTCTTTCGCTTCTGGGTCCAGAATACGGTGTTCTCATACTTCTCCTCCGCAGGGCCCCAGTCCACAGCCAGTACCAACTTGGCGTGCGCATCACTCCATGTTTGGCAGAAATCAGTACTCACATATAGAGAATGGTCTGACCCAGCAAGTACCATTATCTGAGGATAGAAGAGACACAAGATTCTGAGACTAAATGGCACATATGTACGTTAATAATTAATTATCAAGTAGGAATGAGTATCAAAGTACAATTGATATGAAAGTACTTAAGGAAGATTGTGTACCTAAATAAAATTGATATAGAAGTAGTAAAGGATTATTGTGCAACAATTGTATTGAAAATACGAGACCTTCGCACTGAAATTGCGGATTGATGTATACTATTCCCAGTACTCCTTACACCTGCTATTTGAATACATACATTGCAACGATAGCTGTAGATAGGTACCATAAATAAATCTTAACAGTAAATCGTATATATAAATTCTATAAATAGATCCTATCAAAACAGAGACTATACAGTATGTTTAGTACCATATCGGGGTTGGTAGGGTGGAAGTACACTTCAGTCGGATCCAACTGAATGTCCAAATTTGACTTGTCCCAGGTATCACCTCCGTCGATGGTGGTGAAGAGTTTATCCTTGCCTTCTGCTATAAGAATGACCTGATTTTTAATAAGGTCGTGAATAGAGAAATTTGAAATTATTAATAAAAAACGGGATTGTTATAGGTACACAATTTCGTATTCCCGCCTAGTTGCACTCGTCCTTTCGGACATGTGCGAAACTGGAAGACCGTAGATCAATGCAATCCATACACAGCAGAGAACGCATAATATGAGTCAAAGTTTTATAAAAATAACAGAAACAATGCACGTGGAAAGAAAACAGCTGAGATACACACACATATAATGATATCAGAAATTATACACACAGGTACCAATGAAACAATAAAATACACATACATACAAATAACAGACGAAATACACAAATAGCCACAAAAGACAGCTATTGTACACACACAAGTACAAGTAACAGACAGTATACACACATAACATACACACACATATAATAATATCAGAAATTATACACTCGCAAACAACATACACCAAATACACAAAATACACACACGCCTGCAAATAACAGATAAAATACGGATATACAAACAAATAACTGATAATGAACACACATACCTACAAATACCAGATAATATACATAAATACCTGCCCCATTCTACACATACCTACAAATATCAGATAATATACATAAATACCTACCCGAATCCACATTTACCTACATAAATACCTACCGATTCTACACATACCTACAAATACCACATAATATACATTAATACCTACCCGATTCTCGAAGTAAGGTGACTTCAAGACAGCGTTGCCGTCAAGCATCTCACCGCCCACCTTCGCAGACTCTTCCTTGAACGTCTTTCCGTTGTCTATGCTGCGCCATAGTTCTGTCTTGGAAGAACCATCTAGATCCACAACGACCAGTACATTCTGCGTGTATTGTATGTATATGTATATGTA